TTAATTAATTTAATAAAATAATAAAAGATTACGTTAATCACTAGATTAGTCTATTGTCTATATAAGATTAAAGAAATAAAAAGAAGACGTATAAGAAAACGTGCGCTTTTCTATTAATAGAAGAATTAGGTGTAGCCAATTTTAGTGGGGTGAAAACGACATGTCAACAAAGCAAAACGCGGTGTCGGCCTAACGACGGAAACTAAACCACGCGCTGGGTCGCGTGAAGATTTCGTGTCAAATTATTTAAAAAAAAAAAAAAAAAAAAAAAGAGTACGAGGTGGTCACAGGCAGTCACAGGTCACAGCCAGCCAATCAATAATTTGGCGCCACGTAGCTCTTTAGAAATTTAGACAAACCGGGTGCACGAAAGTTCCGTACTACAAATCGTATAAAAAAGGGTTGGTTTTGGTACCTGAAGCTCGGTAACGTCGCAGACGCAGATCCGGCCGTTGTAGAAGATGGTGAGTTGCTGGCTTTGAAGGCTGCCGTTATCGGCGGAAGAGGAGGCGGCAGCGGCGGTGGTGGTGGGAGAAAGGCGAAGTTCTAAGTTGCAGTTTCGCCTCATTCTGAGAGACGAGTTTCCTGTCATCACAACGAAAATCTGAGTAAAGAGAGAGAGAGAGAGAAAGTAGATTTTGTGAAAATGAAAACAGGGGTGGAGTATTTATGGGGATAGGTGGGGTATACGGCGTCGTTTTCAAGGAAGATTAAACGCACGTGATAAATGATATTTGCTTATATAACTATACAATCTTTTGTTACGGCCACCACCACTACTTCCTGTCCTCTTACAATTCTCCACGTCGCCTTTTTTTTTTTCTTTTTAAAATTTTCTATTTAATAATAATTTAATATTCTGAAAGCCTTAATTTTTTTTTTTTTTACTAAACGAATGACCTTAAAAATAATTGACTAATGACATTTTATTGAATTTTTTAAAATAAAAATTAAAATAATACGACTCATTTTAAACAAGAAAAAGGAAAATGGACAATATTTCAAGTTAGTTTTAAAAGTATGAAAAGTAAAAGGAAAAAAAAAAAAGGATTTAGAATACTTTTGTAATTTTTTTTAACAAAATAAACTAATCATATTTTAAAATTAGAAAACATTCTCTATACCCACAAAAGTGTTGTTATTCTTTGGAATTAACGTAATAATTAAAAAAAATTATTTTCGATCCCGAAAATTAGAAAACTCGATGATATTATTTACAAGCTATAAACCAAAAATTAAAAACTAAATATTTAATTTGATTGAAATGTTAAGTAAATTTGATATTTTAGATTATTTAATCTAAAATAATTAAAATAAATAAATTTGTCGAGCAAATATTCAGTGAATAATTTGAAATAAAAAATTAATATTACTTGGCCGACACTCTTTTTTTTTTTAAAAAAAATTATTCTTTAATAATAACGTTCACATTCTTGAGAGAGAGAAAAAAACGTTTTTTAAAAAATAAATAACTAAACAAATTAAAAATAAATTACTTTCAACAAAAAGAAAAAAGGTTAGATTTGAAAAACGTTATTTTAAATTTTAATCCAATTAGGATAATTTTCAAACTTTGACTTCTTCGTCCGCTTGTAATTATTTTTTTTTTATAAAAAAAAAAAAAAAGATTTGGACCAATTCTTTTGAGGTTTAATTTATTTCGATAGAAAATATATTTTTTATGTCATAAATATGTGAAATTACAAATAAACTTCTCAATATTTTTTATATTATTTTTGTTAAAGTCCATAAATATCTGAAAAAGAGCGAATTCATGTTTAGATATTTATAAGAGAGAAAGTGCGAATTCATGTTTTGCACGCGCAAATCATATGGGAAAAAGTCGTTGAAAATTATAAATTCTGCAATGCCTAATGGACCCACATGCATGTGAGTAAATAGTGTGAATATAAGTACTCTGCATCCAATTCTATCAACTTAGTAGGTCCTCGTCTTCTATCGACATAATAGGTCAACGTCTTTGTGTTTATGGATAGGTTGTATGTAGAGAAGTATTATGCATTCAAGTTTATTCGATAAAAAAAGTAGAGTCAAACGAACAATCATGATACATGTTATATGGGAATACATTTTCCAACTTCAACTGCGAGATCACTTAGAAATAGAAAAACAAGTTAGAGACTAAGCTAATCGAATACCGAACCCTTGAATTGAGACGAAAATTATACCTAAAGTGCATTAAAGTTGTGATAAGATAATTCTACAAAAGTCAATCGAGACTCTACTCCTTGAATCGGGATGATAGGGACCCAAACCTACACTAGGGTTGTCAGGGAACAAGTATTATAAACCCTAGTGGGGATGGATTACTGGAAGGGCGAAGATTTTTATTTTATTTATTTTTGGATGCGGGGGTATTTTGGTCATTTTTAAAGGTAGTGCTTGTAAGTCAGTTTATGAAATTAATAAGGTGGGAAGCTGAAGAGAAAATTAAATGTTATTTTGGTTTTGGTGTAAAAGGTAATGTCTTTTCAAATTATGAAGAGTCTCTTCCTTTCCATTTCTGTTTTTTATGGATACATCATCCAACGACCATGCATTAAAGACTTGTTCGACACTGAAATATGCTCGAATTATATATAATTTATAGTATTTGACGGGCGAGGTACGTGGAAGTAGAAGCCATAGAGAAGCCACTGTGATGATCTGTAGATGATTTAGTTTCACATGTTCTATGGTGGATGTGTTTTGTTGTCCAGAATTCTTGGGAATGTCCAGCTTTTGGGCCTTTAATATTGTAGCGTTGTTCACCATTAAAGGCAGAAAGAAGAGCTTTTGGGATGCTGAAACGGTAGGGCAAAGTATGAGAACTGAAGCCAATCAAATTCCATGGCAGGTGTGGGGATGGGCGGGCGCCTTTTTGAGCGCCGACATGGCGGCACTCCTGGCTGGACACGCCTGCTCGCCCGCCCGCCCGCCCGCCCGCGCGCACGCTCTTGTATTCCCTTTGCCTTACATTGAACCTGATCAACCTTCGGCGGCATGCATTTTGGGGATGTTTCAACGTAAACTCTTTTGCCCTTCGTTGCCTCTCAACCGAGAATTTAAAACCTCTCAACATGGACAACCTTTTGGGCTTTGCATTACTTACATTGAACCTGTTCCTCTTCCTCCCAATGCTTTTTGGGGACGTTTCACTTTCCATCAACCTTTGGGGACGTTTGAGGACATTAAGGTGTCGTGGTCTTTTTGTAAATCGAACATTTTTGTCATGTTTGTTGTTACAATTTTGTTCCTCTAAGGTTCTTCAGAACATTTTTAAACATTAAAAAGTGTCTAATGAAGACATAAAATTTCATAACTATGTCTTTTTTTTGTCCATAAACCTTTAAACATATGTAATGGGTTATTAAACATTTAATTTTGTGTTGTAAAAGTCATTAACTTATTAATTAGATTTGTTTAAAATTTAACGAGTAATTAGGGAGGTGGGTTTGCTCTTGAATTTTTGAAGTCATTATAGCTCTAATCTAACTGATTTTATTTATCACTAACTAATTAAGTATAAAAGTACTTAATACATGACATAATATACGTAATGTAGAAATGACAATACTACCCCTCCGTTGCCTAATCTTGTTTTTGTTGACGTGGAGCACCAACTTTTGGATTTCGGCTAGAAACACGCAGCTCCAACCGGTAGCGGGTGATTGTCGGATTCAAACACGTCAAAATATTCCTAATTAATTCCTTTTAAAATAAAAAATTCACCAAAAAAAAAAAAAATACTTAAACCAATTTCGCCATAAAAATTTGAAACCACTTAGGTAGCGATTTTAGTCACAAAAAAAAAAGTATTAATTAAGTAGGGGAAGGTTCAGAGTTCATTAGTTTATTGCATGCATAATTTCCAAGAACCAAAATTTAAATTTAAATAATAATAATAATAATAATAATAAATTTTGTTAAGAGAGAAAACCCACTCAACTTAGAGAAGAGACCACAAATTTGAAAACAACAAATTCCCATATGGGGATTTGATTGATTATTATAATACCAAAAAAAACAAAAAACTTGAGGCAGTGATTGCGCCAATTAGATCCAGAAATGTGTGGGTGAAAATTATTGTGCACAAATAATAATAATAATCAAACTCATCATTTTGGGGTTGTAATTGATTCTAGTAATAAGGTGATGACTAAATTATTTTTTTATTTTTTTATTTTTTTTTGGTGGGTTGAAATTAACATATTAGGATTGAAGGAGCTTGGAAATTACTCATCTAAATTTATTTTTATTTTTAAACTTCAATTTATTAGAAATTTCAAACGACTAATTGATTCCCTAACAAACAAACTCATGACTTTACCGGCAAAACAAGTGGAAAAAGTTGAATGAATTGGAATCGGTGGAAATGAGTCGGTGGAAAATTGTAACTTTTTAAAAAAATAATTTAGAAAAAAAAAAAAGGAAAAACGACAGCCTTTTTTAAGTTCCGACAGTCAAAAGTCGGAGTGAGAGATTCAGTGTTGAGAAGAAAGAAAAAAAAAAAAAGGAGAGATTTTGCTGACTTTTTGGACAACCTACGACAAAGGGCGAGTGGGACTCTTTTGTTCCTACCAATAATCAACATCATAAGCCTAATTTAAAAAGTTAATCCTACGGCCAACATTTAATGTTCGGCAAAGTTAATTCATTATTATTAAAATAAAGTTTCTCTGTTTTGATTGGATTCCCCAGCTAGTTCAATTTTGTCTCATATTATTATTATTATTATTCTCAAAGTCTTGTGTTTCCAAACGTGGAATTTAATTACCAACCGACCAACACTTTATTTTAACTTTTTTTTGGAAAAGAAACACTGTTTTTCTAACTTATTCTACCTTCTACTCCCACTTTATTGATAATTATGTTATTAAATCCAAATTCCCATTTCAATTCCTTTTAATTCTTTTACCAATTAAATATATATATATTTATATAATTAATTGAGTGTAAGTCCAAAAAAAATAATATCTACCGGAATGGAGTCGCGTTACTTTTACTATTTTTTACAGGACGGGAACAGAAACCAGAAACCAGCTGAGCTCGAAATTACCCAAGTGTCCAAAAGCTACAAGCTGGGTTTTTCCTCTACAAATCGCTCGCTCAAAATAAAAATTAAAGTAAGAAAAAGAAAGGTTGTTCAGATTTTAATGCGAATAGGAGAGAATCCGGGGAGCTGTTTGTAAGCCATCCCACAGGTAATTTCTCCATCCACTCATAAAATACTCATACTTTTCAGAGATTTGTTTAAATCAATCAATCAATCAAGCTTGATTTCGCAACTTGGTTGCGTCCACGAATGTCCCATGAAATCCATACGGCACTCTCGACGGCAATTTCACTGTCGCTTCCACCTTCAAATCCATGGCGTTCACTATTTGCAGCTCCGATTTCCACGTCCTCTCGTCGTGTACAAACACAAGAATGTGCCCATCGTCTTCTTCTTCTTCCTTCTCTGAATTCACCTCCTTCGGTAAAAAGAACGGCTCCCCTCCGAATTTTCTACCGCCGTAAATATGCTTTTTTACCTCCCCTGTTACCAGATCAACCTTAGCGAACCCCGAAACCTTCGGCCATGGCTCTGCAATTGCCAGATACGCGTATCGGGTTTTCCGCCCCAGACGGTTTCTGTTCACCATTCCGGCTTCTAGATTCACCTGATGATCCTCCTCGGTGATTATCGGCCGCCGTGTGGACTTCCCCGTTCTTAAATTCAGGCGAATTTCCGATAATACGCTTTTCAAATTCTCGTCGCACTCGTTGAAAATCGAGTCCGGTGGCGTCATGCACGACCCGATCACCACCACCTCCTCTGTTTCCGCCTCCTCCCAAGCATTCCATAAATGGAAACAGAACGTCTCCGGCGACTCCACCCAGATTAAATCCTTCGAATCGGTTGCATTTTTCGGGAGAATCCCAAATCGGGATTTCTTGTTCTTGTCGTAGATCACCGGAGATCCGCCCTTGACCATTTCCTGAAGCTTGAATACTACCTGCTGGTCGGGGATGATGACGAAATTCTCCGTTATGGCGAAATCGTGCATCATCGTCGGAGTTTGGAGAGGAATTTCGACGTCGTTGGATTTGATTCCGTCGGGGGAGAATCGGAAGTATTTGAGATATGGTTTATGAACGACGTCGTAACTAAGCGCGTACATCTCTCTGGAAACTGGGTCCACTTTCGGGTGTGCGATCATTGTGGATTGAAGCTGCGTGTTGAAATCGTAACGGCCCACGGTTTCTAAGTCGCCCGAGGGCGTGATACGCACGTGGTACGGCAAATCGTCTTCTGACATCGCCAGCAGCCGGTCGTTAAAGAACACCAAACCGGCGTTCGCCACTCCTGTTCCGTTTCTATGGTCGACGAGCCCGAACAGTCCTCGAGCGTAGAAGAGGAGCAGCCGCACGATTCCTGAGTGACCGTGGAGTTCGCCAATGGCTTTTGGGAAAATAGACCGCCCGAGTTTCCGTTCTTGGACCAGTCGTTGGGTTTCGGTGAACCGGCAAGCGTAGCTGGCTGAGCCGTCATTGATGGAGACGGCGTGGACCATGCCATCGCCGTCGAAGAGATGGTGACCAGCGGTGGGTTCGAAGAGAGGGTTGGCTCCGTTGCGGATGTAGACGCCGTTAATGCAGTCGGGGATGGTTCCGGTGACAGGGAGGTTGTGTTTAATGGGTTGCTCCGGTACCGGAGCGAAATTTCCAGAGATTTGAACACGTGGGTCGGCGGTTTTGGGGAGTGGGTGTTGAAGCTCGAATGAAAGTAAGGCGGATTCGACCATATCTAACGCCATGGATGCCGTTTTTTGAAGAAAATTCCAACCGGAAATAGAAGCTTTATTTTCTTCTTTGACAATCAGCTTTTTGTTAGAAGTAGTTTGGTCGGGAAAATGAAGAACAGAGGGAGAGTGAAGAACACACTGAACAACGTTATTTCTACGATTGGACTGTTGCCTAATCTTAATATTGTCGAAACAAAGCGGCTTGAATAAGGACGAAGAAGAAGAAGAAGCCGCCATAGCCTAGATTTTGAAGTGAGTGAGTGAGTGAGTGAGTGAGTGAGCAGCAGGCAAAATTGCAGAGGAAGTAATTTTGGAACCAGAGACAAAAAAAAAAAAAAAAAAAAA